CTTCGATCAAGTTGGTTTAAAAAAAAAAAAGCAGGGTACAGATCAGTAGGAAAGGGGAGAATAAACATTCTCATTTGCTTTTATTTGCATAAGGACTGGAAGGAAACATGAGGCATTTATAAAAAGTTATTTTCTGTTAGGAGAGAGAGAGAGAATGGGGTGAATTGGGACAGGGAGGGAGTCAGATATTGCACCTTCCTGTAAACTTTAGATTTTTGTTTCTCTCTCTCTCTTTTTTCTTTTTTTTTTTTGGTGGCTGGCCAGTATGGGGATCCAAACCCTTGACCTCAGTGTTATAACACCACAGTTTAACCAACTAAGCTAACTGACCAGCCCAGCTTTTGACGTTTGAATCATGTGCATGTATTACCAGTTCCGTATTCAAATCGATAAAAATGAATGTTCTGAGATGAACTGTCGAAAACTCGTGGTTAAGTAGAAGGAACGTGTGCAGAACTATGTGTATACTGTGTTGCTTTTGTGTAAGGAACAAAATGGGAATGTTCATACTATGGAGGCATCAACTGTGGAAGGAAAGAAAGTGATAACAATGGTTGCCGCTGGCAGGGAGGGCGTGGGGGTGATTTGCTGCAGACCTGGCCTGGGAGGAAGGCTTTCTTTGTGTGGTCCCCTTTCTGCTTGGGTTTTACATAAAATAGCATCCAAAGTAGCAGGCCGTTTGGCTATGTGTTTTTTTGGTAGCTGGCCTGTATGGGGATCCGAACCCTTGAACTTTGTGTTATGACACCGCACTCTAACCAACTGAGCTAAACGGCCAGTCCTGCCAGTTAGTTGTGGATGGGGCTAAAGTATCAGGGGAGCCCGGACACTCTAACCCAGACGATACAACAGGCTCATGGCACACGTTCAGCCTTGGCAACTATTCTTTTATTGAAAGGTAGTGACAGAAAGATGCTCGATTCAGGAGAAGGCTCCGCTCCCTGAAACTCAGTCTGAGCGAGCACAGCCACAGGGGCGTGATGTGCTGGCTGGTACACTTGTCCATGGTTCTTTCACAGTGGCTTTGGCACACCAAGGGCCACGTGGCACCACAGTTCCTCAGCTGTGGGTCTCCTTCCTGCTCTGCCGCAGCACCACAGGTCAGAGAGAAATCATGCCATGGGTGGGGTCCCTGCAGGCCCACCCAGCACTACAGCGGAGGCTGTCAGGGGGCTTCAGGGCCTGGCTCGCCTCGGCAGGCTGGTCTTGAAAAGGGACTTGCCCGAGGCCTCGATGTAAGTGATGCTCATCTCTTTGGGGCTGATCTCCACGTAAGCAAAGCCCCCCAGTGAGTCCTCAGCCCCATAGTGGAAGCGCAGGTAGCCATTGGGGACCTTGCGCTGGTGCCGTTTGGAGGGGTCCATGAAGTTTCCAGCCCCACTCAGCACGTAGCCCACACCGTGATCATCCTGAAGATACTGAGGATGGAGGACACAGAGTCAGTGGAGACCCCAGCCCCAAAATGGAGCTGACCAGGGGCTCCACCCACATCTGACTCAGGCCCAGGACCACAGAGTCATGTTAAGTTACATAACCCTCCTGGCCTCAGTTTCCCCACCCCTGGGAGTATATGAATTCTACTTCACAGGTAGAGCACTTAGTAAGCAATTGGCAACCAGTAGCTGTTATTATGACTTTTAGGGGACTTTGGACTGTTTTCCTGATTAGAGAGCATATGTTGAGGGAGAATGTTGATATTCTGAAGGTCAAGGGAGGCCCCCAAACAGCGGAAGGACCCCAGCCATGTGGTACATTGGCTGGAATGGGGACCCCCTACCTACCTCCCCCCCGCCACCCACAGGGCTCTCACCTGCAGATTGTGGTCATGGCCACACAGGTAGGCAGTGACCCCATAGGTGGCCAGCAGTGGCTGCAGATGCTTGACGAGGCAGCGGGTGGGCCCGTGCTCAGCTATGGACCACACGGGGTAGTGGCCGGCCACCAGCACATAGTCTTCCTTGGCTGCCGCCAGCTGCTTCTTGAGCCAGGACAGCTGGGTGCGGGCCAGTTCCAGGTCACGGGGCCTCTCGGGCTGCTGGTTACGGAAGTCGTCTGAATTGCCACACAGTGTCACTGTGTCCAGCATGAAGATGGCCACGGACACATTGGTCCGTGGGACCTTGAAGCGCAGACGGTAGAAAGGGCTGGGGAAGTTCCTGTGGAGGGGACAGAGGTCGGGGTACATATCTTAGGCAGAGAAGCCCCAGGGTCAACTCAAGCCAAAGGGCCCCTTTGTCCCCCTGAGTGAGGGTCTGGGGAAGGCAGGGGAGCTCACCAGCGCTTGGAGATCTTGGAGTAGGCGATCTGTGCTGAGACATTGCCGAGGTGATCATGGTTTCCAGCCAGCACGTACCAGGGTACATTGCGAAGAGAGCGGTCAGAGAACACGTCTTCAAAGGTCTCCTGTAGCAGACAGAAAGGGGACCCCATCTCCCCATGTCATGCAGTACCCTGATGCTCCCACCAAATCAGGGGCTGGGGACAAGGGACACACTGAGTGCTCCAGTGACCAGCAGATGCCACATCAGCTTCCTTCTGCCCTCTCCGGAGGAACGTCACCCATCTGGGTGCTTCTCCCCACTGACACCCCCCCAACTCTATTGGACACACACCTGGAATCTCTTGTCATTGGCATCCTGCACGCCAGTGAAGTAGAAGTTGTCCCCCAGGGACAAGATGAAGTCTGCGCCCAGGATCTGCACGGTTCTGGCGATCTCCTTGGCATTGGCCATTTCCCGGGCCGTGTGGAAAGGGGCATTGGGGACTCCTCCCCAGTCACCCACGGCCACAAAGCGCAGGGCAGGGGCGGCCCCATCAGCCAGGGGTAGCAGCAGCAAGGCTTGCAGGACAAGCAGCGCCATCCACCTGTCCATCTGGGAGGGAGACATGAGTGTCTGGGGTGTGGGCAGCAAGCCCTTGACACCCCCGCCACCCTGCTCTGAGAGAGGGGGAGATTGCTCCCTGCGGGCTGGCCCCAAGGGAACCCCACGCTGCCCTAGTTCCCAGGGCACTGCAGGACGTGCTCATTGGCAGGGTCAGTGGGCAGGAGGGCGGGCTTCACTGAGGGTGGCCCAGCAGGCGTGTTCCGCCCTCTCTTGTCCCTTTCTGCCCAGCACTCACCCTGGAGGAGACACCCGGAGGTCAGCAGGGGCTCCAAGAGGCAGGTGGGCTCCAGGGCAGAGCGGGCGCTCTCTGAGCCTTTATTCCCTGGGGTGGAAGTGGATCATTAGTGAGGATGATGCAGTTTCTCCAAGGACTGTCCCCAAAGCCCTCCCTTTGGGTCATGTGAGCCTCGGACTTCCCCAGCACTGGACACGGGTTTGGGGTGGGGATCTGGGCACATGGGTGAGGCCACGCCTCCCCACACAGCCTCCAGGTCTGCCTGTAGGGGCTGGATTGTGGGGTGGGCCAAAGGTGTCCTGTGCATCGGTGTGTGTCTGTGTGTGCATGTGTGTCTGTGTGTGCATGCGTGTCCGTGCGTGCAAGGCCATGCCTGAGACACGTCTCCTGTGTCTGTGTTCTCAGAGGACATGTTTATCTGCCTGGTCTAGGTGTGTCTGTTTCCTGTGTGCAGCAGAGCTGCTCTGTGCCTGAGAGTCCCGTGTCCTGTAGACGTGCATGCTGAGCCTGCAGGGCCAGTGTGGCGTGTCTGTGACATGCGCCTGACTTCTCATTTGGCACTGAGTGGGAGTCTGTGTGGACGGGGATTTGTGTGTCCATGTTTAGTGCCTGAGCCGTGTCATGTCAGTGTTTGTCTCAGTTCCCTCATTACATGCGTTGTGTCTCTAATGTGAGTCGTGTGTCTGGCATGTGATGTGTGTTTGACAAGGTCCGAGTGTGGGACTCTGCATGTCCCAGTCTTCCCACCCTACACATAAAAGGCAGTGGCCTCCCTTTTCCAGGAAGTCCTGCCCACACCCTGTCCCCTCACCCCTCATTCCTCCAGGAGGAACCCAGGCGGGAGGCAGCTGGTGACAGGCCATGTGACTGCTGACTTTTGACCCTCACAAGCCAGCTCAGCAGCTGCCTGCAGGTCCTCCGTTGGACCGCGGCCTCTGAGGGTAGGACAGGGCTGGCAGGGGGACCTGCACCTGCAGCCGGTCTGACCTGACTTGCTCCTCACCTCCCTGCCTCCTCCTCCGCGCTGGACGCCGCCCGACACGTCCCTTGCGCGCTCACGACGAGTCCCTCCAGTCCCTGCGAGCGGGGATGGGGGATGCCGAGGACACCGGCTCAGCGAGGGGCGGTGACTCGCCCCGGGTCACCCAGAAAGGGCTGGTTGTTTATCCCCCGAGCCCCGCAGCTGGGTCAAACAGGAAGGAAGTGGGTGACTTGGGTAGGCGGAGACCCCTCCCCCGGGGACGCGGCGCCGAGCGCGGGCCGGGCGGGTCTCACCTGCGGTCGCGGGGCCGGGGTCAAGGCCGGGTGCTCTGGCCGAGCCGAGCCGTCGGGCTGCGGGGCGCTGGTGGCCGGGGCTGCCCAGGCCTTAAATGGGCGGCGGCC